TTACTGAATAAATAAATAAACAAATAAATAAATAAATATAAAACAAATTGTGCAACACAAAATAAGTTTAACTGAAAATGATTTTTTTTTATTAAATTTTGCAATGCCTGTGGCTGGTTGGCCTAATGGTTTACAGAATGTTGTTATAAACACATCTTCAGTTCAATTCAATTCAAATTCAAAAATACTTTATTGATCCCAGAGGGAAAATAGGTAGTTATGATATTAGAWATGTTATTRTATATTATTGTATATTATTATATTATCATATTAGAAAATTAAAACAGTAAAGCTAAATTTAACTACATTTTGTATCTTTTTAATTACTCCTACGTTTATCTCTGGGTAATTATGATTTTTAAGCAGAGTGTTCTAACCTGCAGAGCTGCGTGAGGCCTTCAGGGAGTTCGACAAAGACAAGGATGGCTTCATCAGCTACAAGGACCTGGGCGAGTGCATGAGGACGATGGGCTACATGCCCACTGAGATGGAACTCATCGAGCTCAGCCAGCAGATCTGTGAGCCCGTTAAATATCTGCCTGTAACACGTCTGTTTCAGAGGCGCTGTCAGATGTTTTCATCCTCACTTCTCATCATATTATCATCCCAAACACCACTTGTGTGCTGGCTTGTTTCAGGTGGTGGCAGAGTGGACTTTGAAGATTTTGTGGAGCTGATGGGTCCCAAAATGCTCGCTGAGACCGCAGATATGATCGGAGTCAAAGAGTTACGGGACGCCTTTAGAGAGGTCTGCATCATTTCACTACCTAAATATGTTTTTCTTGTTTTCATGTATTTTATTTTACACTCAATCTCTTTTTGCCTCTAAGTTTGACTCTGATGGCGATGGTCAGATCAGCCTTGCAGAGCTGAAAGAAGCCATGAAGAAGCTGATGGGGGAGCAGCTGAACCACCGTGAGATCGATGAGATCCTGCGAGACATAGACCTCAACGGAGACGGAGAGGTGGACTTTGAAGGTTAGGAATAATTACAATGGAAAATATAAGGATGAATTTAAAAAAGTAAATGTTTGCAAAGGTCATCATCAAAAACTCTCTTTGGAAGGATTTGCTCTAGATTAGGCAGACAGGTGAAATATTTCATTTAACCAAAGATAGTACAAGAAAAAAACTGCTTGGATACAACAGCATCAACAGGAAGAAACCAGAGTGGAAATCCGCCTCTGAAAAATGTGACAGGCTTTTTTTTTATTCCTTTATTTAACCAGGAAAGTCCCACTGAGATTAAAAACCTCTTTTTAAAGGGAGTCCTGGCCAAGAGGCAGCAAACGTTATACAACATTTACACAATTATAATTATTAAAAACGTTAAGTGCTGGATGGAATCAGTCTTTTTGCAACATGTTACATGTAGATGGAGCTGAGGAAACAAAGGCCCTTTTCCCCAGTTCTGTGCAGGGAAATGARTCAGAGAGCAAGAAACAATCATYTGAACACAAAGCTTAAGAATCAACACTTCTCTGTGTGGTTAGATCACAGATGTAAAAAGGTAACAACCCAAGCATGGTCTTAGAAAAAAGTGTGCCAATGTCCCAACCTCCACTGGAGTGGACAGCTCACTGTGATGAGTCGAGGTGTTACAGTTCCTAACAAACCTCAGAGAAATGATACACAGCATCAGCTGAGGCATTCATATATAACAGGTCTCCATAGTCTAAAATTGATAATTCAATTCAGTTCAGTTTATTTATATAGCGCCAAGTCACAACAACTGTTGTCTCAGGGCACTGTACACACAAAAAAAAAAAAAAACAAATCTAAAGAAGCCAACAGACAAAATGTGGCCATGACAAGCCACTGCTTTACCTTGAAGGAAAAATATATTTAATTTTGAAAAAAGAAGCCCAGTTTGAGTTTAAGWTTCTTTGAATATGGGGCTTAAAGCTGAGGGAGGCATCAAGCAAGAAGCCAAGATATCTGTACGCGTGAACCATCTCAATAATAATTCCTCCAAGAGGGGACATAGTGGGGGTCGCCTGAGGCACMTTCTTGGTGTTTGCAAAGCATTGAGTACAGATTTTAGCTGCAGGATTGTGTGCTGGACCACATGAAAAACTCTCTGCAGAGATTCTACAGCTTTAGCAACAGTTGATCCAAAACAGTAAAGATGAATGATGAAATATGGCTGCAGTTAGAGAGGACAGGGAGATACTTATATGAAGTCCTTCACAATAAAACAGAGTAACACACAGCAGAGCATCAAAATACATTTACAAACCATACAGCATTAATAAGACAACATTAAAACACATTCAAACCTGCTTAAAAGGTGAATTTTTTGCTGCTTTTTCAAAATGGTAGACATTCTGGTTCCAAAAACAAGATTTGTCTGGGACATTTTAACCCTGTTTTAATGTTTCTTAAACTTATCAACTGGCCTTTTTTAATTCAGTTAAAATTAATAACAGTGGGCTTCAGTATAGTTTGCAGTTATTAAAACCTTTGCACCAGTTTACTGAAGAACATTTAAATCACACTCTAAGTATTCACAAGTTAGAATGAAGCTAACGTTTGACCTTAGTTCTTCACCAGCTGGAACCTGTTCAGTGTATTTTCTGGGGCTTTTTGATGACATGAAACAATTTCCTTCTTTCTGCAGAGTTCGTGCGAATGATGTCTCGCTGACTCCTCACTGACGCAGACTCGACACTGTTAAAGATGGTTTCTAATGTACAAAAACTCTGTGGTGTCTGTGTTTTCTCACGTACCTCCAGCACCTCTCAGGTATTAGAGTCCCTTTATTTTCTCAGCCTTGTATAAAACATGTGACGAGAGATTACTTATTTAAAAATTCAGTGGTGTGGTCTTGTGGGATGAACTCAAAAAATAATCTAAATTATTAATATAACTGACCGTTACTGTAAATCTGTATTTAGATTTTTTTCTTTTAGTTTTTGAATTTGCAACAAATACTGTGAATTTATAGCTGATAATATTTTACAATTTCAGTCTAAAGGTTGAAAAATTTAAAGTATTATATTAATAATGTTTACATGTTAAACTTGAATGCACTGGTTGTAATTGTATGATAGTTAAATATAAACAGAGAGTTATTACTTTGTTAATAAGCCATTATTAATATTATTATGTGTATACTTCACTGTACAAACTCACAGTTATGCAATAAATACGTTTGCATCATCTTCCCTTGTGGAGTTAGATTTTTTATTTTCTTATCAGTATTTTTTAACTTGTTTTATAGCAGTGACATAACTGCAGTAAATTTCCACCTCCTCATGTGCCAGAAAATCCAACTCAGGACCTCTGAGTTCAGCCTCGGCCTGGGCCAACTTGGTTTCACCAGGAGGGGGCGCCCCTGATCAATGTAAARTGAAGGAACAACTCTTGTGTCATGTTGGTAGAAGGTTGAGTGTTGTCTGTAGTTTCAGCAAAGGAACTCATGAACTGACTTTAATAAAACTCTAGACACTCACCAGACTACTTAGATACAAATAGAGTCAGCCAGTTTGTATATTTGTATATTTTACAATGTATGTAAAATATGTGTATGAAGAACTGATTTCTGATCAGACACTACATAAATTAGCCATCTGAAAATAAGTTTAAAATACTAGATTAGATCCTTATTCTTTTCAAATTAATAATGATTAATAATCTGCAGTTTGACAGTTACACTTGGTAAGACTTCTTGAAGTAAAAAAAATCAGATTACAAAATTAATAATCCAACATACAGTATTCTGATCTTGTTGAGTAAATCAGTCTAAAAACAAGATCAAAAATATTTTTAGCTGATATAAGACTGTAAAACTTCGTTAGAGGAACATTTTTCTGCAGTAYARTGAMKGTCTACTGCTAAAAAACACTAACAGATTAAATAAGCTTCACTTYAAACCTGGTCAKGACCAGGTTASTTTCAGAGCACTTGTTACCACAGAAACATAAGTGCTTCGTAGTTCATGCAACCGATTCAAGACTTCATTAATTCAGGTTTACACCAAAWTCCTGGGTTAATCCCTTCGTGCAATAGGCCTCTGGTAACATGTTGACAATATTCTGCACACAGTAAATATTGTCTCATTTTAACATTGAAGAATGTTCCATGGGTCAACTGAGTTATATTAGTGTTAGAATTAGCTTTTGCTAAATTTTTCAGTGGGTTAGTGCTTTAGAATTAGGGGATCTAAATATTTGAGTTAGTGCTTTAGGGTTAGYGCAACTAATTTTTAGATTAGTTCTGCCCACCACTGGATTAAGCAATATATAACCTTACTTTATGCATAGTTTTTATAGATGTGAAAATAAAACTAACCCACAATGACTGCAAGTAAAACTGTGAAGTGATTGTTTCTAAAGTTGCAGCAAATTTTAAACTGTGACAGGAAACAGCAGAATCATTTACAGAAAGATTTCTTGGCCTCAGTTGTGTCTGAGCTGGCATTGTTGAACCTAATTATGTAACATCAGCAGTTTTTTTATTGCACTGAATTTATAAACCAGACATCACATGTTATTGTGCAAAACTGGAAATCCTTCRATTCATGAATAATCTGAGGCATCATATGAGGAAGTGGACTCTGGTGTCTCTGGGTGGTCCTATCAGGAAMCGAACAGAAGACAAGTAGAAAACTAATATTGTCAAAGTGAATATTAGCTTCTTTTTTTACAGATAAATGTGAAAACTTTACAGCCAAACCTGATGCAAAAAAAGCRTTCATGCTCCTGCAGACAGTTTAAGAGATAGACAGATAAACTTCTGTTCAAAAATTCATTCAGCATAATATAAGTGTAGATTGATTTGATTTTATTTGATTTATTGATTTAACAGGAAAAGATTATTAAAAATCAAGCCTGACTCAGCACAATTGCTGTTTTACAGCAGGTTC